ACCTGTAAGCTATCTTGCAATATAGAGTTGTTCTCAGGAACCATCAACCAGTGCAACAACAACAACTAATCAAGTGGGAGGGTTTAGATAATACGCAAGCAACTTGGGAGGATATTGTTGCTATTAGGCAAGCCTTTCCTAATTTCAACTTTGAGGACAATGTTTCTTTTAAAGGGGAAGGTAATGTAACGAGTATAGATGCTGAGATGAGACAAAGGGAAATGCTGAGCCCAAGACAGTAAAAAATATGGTACATGAGGAGGAAATAAGATGTAATACTTAGCCCAAAATACCCAATTTCAAGTTAACTAATTTCGTGTGGTCCAAAAATTAGAATATGTAGCAAAATTAAGAGAGAGAGTGGGAGGGGGGAATGAATTGTCTTTTTTCTTACATTTTCTGTATTTTTCTTTCTACAAATTTTCTGACATTCTTCATATTTCTTTGCTGCTAATTTTGTTTCCAATACATTGAATATTCCAAATTTTCAACAAACTTTGGTGGATATACATTCTATCTCTCTGGTTTTCTACATTGTTATCCATTATATGTCTCTTCTTATTCTTTCAAAGTCTTAAAATGAAAATATTTTTCTCTTCATCACATATCTTTGATTGAAGGAATAATGTCAAGTTTAGAGTTTTGGTAAGTAATGAATAGTAAGAGGGTGGACAGGGTTGATGGTGCTAACTAATTAAATGTAATCCTAATTTTCCTTTTTCTATTGTTTTGAGTGTTGGTGATGTTAAATAATTAAATATTAAGAAAATCAGACGAAAACCATCGACTCGGAATACAGACTAACACGAATTAGGGTGATTCAAATCTGGACTGTCAATATACTCGTAAAAATGTTATTAGCAGAAATTATTAACTTTGTTTTATCTCATTTAAACATTTTCACATTCGAAGTATGTTACTTCATATATTAGTAGTACAATATACAATCTTAAATATTAAAACATACATACAAAATGAAATATTAAAAAGTACGTACAAAATTAAATATTAAAAAATGAAGTTTTTGTATATATCAAATAAAAATATTTACATAGTTTAAATTATAATGATGTGACAAATTATAGTATTGCACAATTTCTGAATATATAATATGTTACTATTAGAGCCTGCGATAAGGTGAGTTCATTGGATAATGATATTTGTGGAAATTACACATTCATAACTTAAAAATGCACCCTTTCAACAACCCATTTCTAAACCAAAATTTCAAAAATAGATACACTCCATCCTATTCAAGCAAAGAATACAATAAATTTTTTATTACCTTTAGAAGTTTGTCTTTCGCTTTAGTTAATGTTTGGTATCTCCAAATAATTTTTTAAAGTAATATTAGGATTTGTAATTACGAAATTTGAGAATTTTGTTTATCTTCATGTGTGTTAATATTTTGATTAGAATAATCACCAAATAATTAGTGTTCTACTACTTGAGAATAATATATTTTCTCTAAAACTTGAAAACAAAATATAAACAGTCATCCAATTAGTTTTAATTAATATGAAGAAAGGTAGATAGTAAATTATTTCTTAATTTTGGATGAGATCTTATTAAAAAGCTTTTAAATAAAATTTTAATATATTCCCTCTTTATATATATATATATTTCACCAACCATGCACAATCTAATTTCTTTCATCTATGGATGAATGGAAGCTCTCTTCAGGACTTGACATTGGTAAATTTCTAACCTTCCAAACTTACAAAGATACGTTGAAGTTTTTAGTGTGTTTAAATCAAAATATATTATACTGAAAACTGTTTAATTTTTTATAAGGTTTTAATCTAATGATAGCACCGCATATTGTAATAAAAATATTATCATGTTTCTATAACCAACTGAATTTGTATCAATTGCAGCACCACAATTTCACAGTTCCAATTTGTTACTAAAACAATTGATGGACAATAGCTTCATATTATATACCTTAAACTTGAAGTTGCTTTACTAGCTAATTAACTAATACCAATTACCAAAACTTTGATACACAAAAGTTAATTACTATGAACAAATTGTTCCAATGCATTTGTCCTGTTATGTAAGGTCTGCATAAAAAGGAAAAATAAATTCTAACTGAACAACACAATTTGGAGTCAAATATATCTTCCATAAGCAAGTAGGTCAATTCTAAGTAGATATATAAAATTTTCTATAATTGATCTTGACCTATATATGTACTTTTAGTAAGTTCTTATACTGAAGCCACACAGTAATAATACATTCAAAAAAAGAAAAAAAATATAATTGTGAAGATAAGTTTTGGACAATCCTAAATACACACTATCAACCCTTAGCAATTTTTAAAGGAGGGTATAAAACTAATTTTCCAGGAATGAAAAAGTAGAGGGACAGATTCAGAAATGTAATAAGCAATGGTTATAGAGAGTTAAAGTAAGAAGAGATAAAAAGAAATTAGACAAAAATGATGAGGAAGAAAAATAGATGTACAAATATAATTACTCTGTAAGATAATAATGTCTTGTTTCACATCAGAACAACCTTTAGATAATAAGACAATAAAACATGAATAAGAGTTTTATAATAATTATAAATTTGTTGAAATCAAGTGGAGACATGTGTCCCCATATTGTTTGATATAAGCTGATCCTTAAGAGCTCAGAATGATCCTCAGTGGACATATCTCCTAGTAAAAGTCAAAGGATTCATCCTATCTGCTCCTATAAAGTATGTATGTGATTGATTGAATGTTTCCTTCTTTAGCAAAAATTGTCATGAATTTGTCTGAATAGATAATGGGTGAAACTAGAGTTACAAAGTTGTAGACAGAAGTGACAGCTTCCGATAAAATGATGAAAAACCCTCCCACAAAAGAAAAGAAAAGAAACAATATCAATTCTTGAAATGGCAAGGTTTAATATCAAATCCATGTCCCTATGTCAGTAATTGAAAGATGGGTCTAAACCAATGATTTAATCATGAAAATAGAAATGAGGTGAAATATATTGGTTTAAATTAAATTGAAGAGACAGCAGGGGTATCCGATGATTTTTTGAATTAATCGACTTGCATTATGCAGTCATGTGGGTCATCATCTTTCTTATCTGTGGGGATATATTACACTGATTAGTCTATTGAGTCACTTCTAAGTTCTAACTTATTGAAGATCTACCTCACTAATTATATGTATGAATAATGCATGCGTTTATATACATATAAGTATACATTATTGCAGAAATATATGTATTTATGTGATGTGCATGCTGAAATTAATGTATTACGCATGTGATATATAAGCAACTAGCAAGGGGTAATATATGTACAAGAAAACTAATGATTGGACAAAACCATTCATATTTTAGTCTTTTATACAACACCATCAACGATTCTATACAGCAGATATATAAAGCATAATAATCATACTCCAGAATATCAGAAGCAAAGCAAAAATATTTCATTGAAAGCTAAAGGGTACCATGCATCCTAAACACTGGTAGGTAGAAAATTCGAGGTTATTTTCACCACTATGCTTGATACGGTACAGATGCAACTTCATAAATACAGTAGGACTTACCCAATATTAACTCAATTTGTTCAGTCTAAATTCTCATTCAAATAATAAAAAACACGCAGAAAGGTTTAACTTGACCAAAGGACATTGATAGAGTCAATTATATCTCCAATATTGCAGGACTGCAGCTAAGGTTATAACACATATACAAGGCCTAGGACTCAGGACTTTGAAATCATTGGAGGACCTGAAACAATATCCAAAGAACCAAAACAAAAATCAAACGCATTTAAAGCTCATAATGGCAAGAATTCAAGTAAATAAATATGCTTCCAAACCATTATTATGGGATCAAAGATCCAAGGCTCTATTTCTGTTAAATTGTCAGTTACAGTCAGTCATATATAAAAGACAAGGATATATTATGGTCATGATATGATGTCTTTGCATGCACAGTGTTTGGTAGTGGGGAAGAGTACAGTGCAATTCATGTACGGAGGTCAGATATACATATTGCAACACCAAAGAAAAGGGACTTTCATATAGATGTTCAATACGAATAAGAAGAGAAGAAACAAAACTATTAGCATAAGACAAAGCTTTTTAAATACTAGAGACCCGCGGTTCTTGTACACTGATGTATTATATATAATAAAGCACAATACTAGCAGTTCAAGATTCTCTCCAAACAACATCTAATTTTCAATCTTATTAGATTTTGAATTCAATCCTTTTTTTCAAAAATAAAAAAAATTAAATATTGTTAACAAGAATCCCTATTTCTTAGTATATCTATAAATATTACATAACTCATATTTTATTATCAAAGGAGTTATCCCATTTCTGGAAGATAGTGGGAATCCAAAAGAAGTAAGATTATGTGGAAAAGCAAACATGTACATATATATATATATAATATGTTATATAAGCACCATATGAATGTTAAGAAATTCAAAAAACACATTAACATCGTCATGTTGCTCGTGAGAAAGGACAAATATAGAATGGATGGGAGAGTACTCCCATAGTCCCTACCAAATGCTCATTAAAACAAAATAAAAATGAAGGTAAAGTAATTAAGCACTGTTATTATGTCATTTATCAAAATTATAAATGAGATTTAGGGTTTAGAAGCAGGTGGACTAGGGTTTGCTATATGAATGAAATGTAAGATGCACTGGAGGTGAGATAAAAATTGACCCTATAACACCTTTAAACGACCCTTTACGTGTTTGATGCGATTTCATTTTCTAGCAATCTTGGTTTAGAAAATTGAACCAGCTGTAAACACTCACCTAAAGAAGTTATTGTCCAAATTAATGATCTTGTTAATTGTTCAATACATGCTTTTATTATGCACATAAAAATGTCAATGATTCAAACAGCACCGAGTCTTTTCCCTGTCAACTTCTGAAAATAGCAGCAAATCTATTACAGTAAGTGAGGGAAAATTAATTTACCATTCTTATTATTACGCTGAAGAAGCCAAACAAAAAGAGAGAGACTCAAAATTTTACTGCTGCAAAGGTAAGTTTGAGCTGTCCCCGTTGGCCTTGACGAGATTCCTCTTCTTCTTTTTCTTCTTATAAGGGATCCCTCTTGCCTTAGCTTGAGAGTCTCGAACCTCACGAAGGTAAACTCTTATGGCACCACTGGCAAATGGATTAGTCTCAGGCAAGCCTCCATTTTCTTCATACGCAGCTCTTAGCCTTCCAATGAGAGCATCAAGGCTCCCCCAAGCTTGTTTAAGAGGGCAAGTGCAAGGACCAGGTGGCTCAACTTGACCAAAGAAGAGACACCCTTGAGCATGCACTTTTGTTTTCCCAAACTGGTCCAAGTACCTTAGGAAATCCAGCACTTGGTTGGAATTGCACTGTGAAAGTGCCACAGGAGGCCTCTGGTTCCTCAAGTACTGCCCAAAAGTGTTCCAATCCCTCCTCTTCTGGGACTCATACCTACTCAGAGGATGCTGTTGTTGCTGCTGCTGATGATGATCAGAAGCAGCAGAAGAAGATCTTGATGATCCTTCTGCTATGTCTTTTCCTTTGGTGGACATATCTGAGTCACTGGTGATAGTAATTCATTTAGTATTTCTTTTGCTGAAGCAAGAAGAAAGGGAAGGTTTTGTTTTTTGAAAGGAGAAGACAATAGAATAGCAGTAGAAGAAAATGACAAAATTTTTTTTGGAGGATCACATCAAAGGACTAGTGAGGAGACATGGAATGGGACCAATGAAAGTGCTTTAGCCTTCTTTTTCTTCCTTCCCTACATTATCTTGCTTTAATGGTACTATTAGCATTAACCATACTTTATAATTTTGTTTCCTCTTTTTTTTTTTTTATCTTTTTTTTTAATTATTGTGCTTCCATCATCAAAGGTGTCATTATTGGGTAACTTAGCGTAATTAGCACTGTGGTTATACCCAATGACCATTAAATCACAGTCTAGGTCCTCTAGCATTAAGGGCTTGTTCGCCACGTAATAGAAAATTTTGGGATTACAAGTTAAACTTAGTGACTTCCGTAACCTATTCTATAACTCATTGTCAAGGCACAGAAGTATGGTGTTACATCTCTTTCACATGCTCATGAACCACAAAACTTTTGAATTCTATTTACCCTATAGCTCTTACTAATAAAAGGAATTTCACCCAAAAATTGAATGCAAAATTCAAATGATAAAGAAGACAGTATTTTACGCTACGTCCATAAATACGTGACATAAAATCAAGTATTACAAAAATTTATCATTTTTATATGCTAAACACTATTCTTTTTTCGTGTTTCTAATCCCTTAAAAGTTAAGCAAATAATCTTTTATATTATGTGAATTTTAATAGAATAAATTTCTGTTTCTCATATTTTTAGGGGGGAAAAAGTAAAGAATAATTTTGAGTGGAAGAAGGGTTGTTACTTGCTTAATTGATGAAGTATCTAATCAGAAAAATTTATATATAAAAATATTTTGTGTACTATACCATTTCAACACCTAGTTTCTGGCATAATCATAATATCTAGAATTCATCGCCATACTGACATAAAAACGACCAACAATGTTTATTGTTGTGGTCGATTTGTTTTATATTGAAATATGTCGTACAAAAAACTTTAACTTTTACCTTTTCTTTACCAATTAATCCTGTTAACTTTTGTTTTCAATCCTACACTTAATTTTCTTTTGTCCCGTTATACAAGTTAAGTTATTGATAGACATTTGTTTATTTTTCTTAATTTTCTTAAGGACACTAGCCTATAGGTCACAGACACCAATATTTTATTTTGAAATAAAGGTGTACAGATCATGTTCCATCATATTGATAGAGTTAATTTATATAGATGAAGTATTATCAATTTTAAAATTATCGAATATATCACGATTTTGTTTTTAAAAGGCATTTGGGTAAATTAAGAAAGTAAGATACGTACAAACTACTTTTGATCCCGATTTTCAGGTGATATGAAATTCATGAATATATTTGAATAATTTTTTTTTTTAATTATGATTTCTAATTTCTTCCTTAAGTTTGAGCTTTCTTCAATCTTTTTTCAAAGTATTTTTTTTTTCTTTACTTCTGTAGCTATATTCTTTGTAAGTGTCTCCCCTCTCTTCATAAGTGTTTTTTTCTCTGTTAATGGCTTCACAATCTTCCTTGCAAATTTGATGTCATGACTCACTTTAACCATCACAAATCAGTCGACCCAATTCGTGTGACATGTTTGAAGAAAGGGGAGCCAAAATATAGTAAACGGGTTGGCACTCCAATGAAAATAGGAATGATTAAAACTAAATAATTTGATGAACTACTCTATTCTAATCATACTTTACTTTCTCTTAATTGAATTAAATGGAAGGAAAGAGACGTTAGTGTAATTAAATGAAAATTTGTTCAATTTGTGAACCTCACAGCCAAAGATTAATTACTCGTTACTTTACTTGAGTCCACTAACTTGAATAATTTGATCTTGACTCTTGTGCATTGAGGATATGGTGGCACATTACACAGATACTATATTTTAAATTACCTACCTGACTTTAAAGTTTTCCCCCCTTATAATATACATTATAATAACCTGGTAATCATTAACTAAAAGCTTAGTGAAAGTTATATGAATTATAAATACCCAAGTTACACATTTTTCTTCCAACGTCATTACCAAATTCTCCCTTCACGTTTCTTATGGATCACCTCTCTAAAATGAAATTATCTTTTTGTGATTTTGTCTCTGGTTGCCACAAATCAACGAAACTATCTCTAAATGAGAGATAGTTTACATTATAAAGAAGATCGAGAATAACAAGTTGGAAGATTTATTTGTTATAACACTCTGACCCAAAATTGCGAAATGATAAAAAATGTGGAATAATAATGCGTTTGATTGCATTGATGTGGGGTTGTGAGTTTGTTGTTTTGTGGAGGGTTGTGGGTTGTGGTATCGTTGGTAGCACATGGACATTACATGGAAAGGTGTACACCAACCATAGCGCTTTCCAATTATACTTTACCACCCTGTTTCCGTTCTTCTGGCAACAAGTCAAATTCCAAAGTCCTTTGCCTTCACTCACCAAATTCATATATTAATTGCCCTGCATCATAAATTTTGTTTGATTACAACCAATATTTTATTTTAATTTTTTTGCAAAATTTAGCATATAATTGTCTATTTTTTTTTTTTTTTTTTAATTCTACGGGTTGATCGATTCAATTGGTCTTTTGACTAGTCTAACCGGTCCATTTTCTTTAAATAAACAAATTTTAATAAAATCAGAACAAAATCGTTAAAACTGATTAAATTTTTGGATTGAACTAGTTTTGGTAAAAAATAAAATAAAATTTTAAGATATAATTTTTTTAATATGATTTTTTTATAAAAAATATAATATATTTTTATTTTTTTATCTGATATTAACTACATTAATTTTAAATAATAGTTATTTCATCATTTTTTTCATCTTATTATAATAATTATATATCTTATACTTTCTAATATATGAGTCAATACTATAAATAATATATTTAAAAAGAAAAATTCTTAAATAAAATATTTTTAAATTTATTTATCCAATTAGATCTATTTAGTGTTTATATACAAATTTTAACAAGAAAAAATAAATTTGTTTGACATAATACTATTATTTTCCCTTTTTTTTGGTTTATTTTTTTATTTTTCTCTCCCTTCGTTTACTTTTTTTTTCTTTTTTTAATCTATTTTATTCTTCAATTAAAAATAATATATTAAAATTTGATTAGATAATCTATTATTATTAAAAAATATATTTAAATAATTCAGAGATATTATAATTTAATACATTATATAAAAAAAATATTATATAATAAATTTAAGCGGTTACAAATAGTATTGCTATGTTATAATTATTACGAAAAAAATTAAATATTTATTTTAAAGTATTTTTAATAAATATTTTTTTAAAAATACTTCATCTAATTAATTATCATAACTCTTCTTAATTATAATTATATTAAATTATTAAATAAAAATATATTTAAATTATATATATTTGATATTTTTTAGCTAAATGATTAATTATTTATTATAATAAAATAATTTTACATCGTAAATAAATTATTTATTGTTAAAAAAATTATTTATTATCATCATAATTTTAAATATTTAGTTAATATTCTTTTAATTTCAATGTTGTTTTTAAAATATTTGTTTTAATAAGAGACGTAAGATAAAAAAATAAAAAAAAATGAAAAAAGAGAAAAAAAATTAATAAGAAAAGGAAAGAAAAATCTCATGTAATTTAGATGATCATAATAATAATTTTTATTATTTTTTTATTATAAAAAATATAATTATTAATAAACTTATTATATATTTATTATATTATAAAAATATCATTTAATTATATTATATCGAATTTCGATTGAAATTTTAAATTCTAAACTAGTATTTTTATTGATTCAGTCACAGTCTAATTTAAAAAATAAATTGATAATTATTTTAGTCATTGCCATATACCTTCCCCAGTGTTGATTATATATTAACAGGGCCTTAACCAAACATAAATATTGTACATATAATCACTCATAGATTTAAATTATAATATAATTATTTGCATAAGTAAGATATTTAATTAAATTATAATACATATATACTAAAATTATAATATATGACATTGTCTACACTGTCATAACTAAATTAATATATATATATATATATATATATATATATATATATATTAATTTCCAAATGTCTATGCTGTCATAACTAAAATATAATGACAATATCCATGACAATGTATTAACTAATAGTTGACCCATGGTGATGACGGACTTCGACCATGCCAAAGTATGGTTAGGTTGCTAAATGAAATTAAACCTAAAATCTCATACTTTGACATAATATATTATATTGACTAAAATGATATATAAATAAATAAGAAATTACATTAATAAAATGAGTAATGATAACATCTTTTGTCAGTCAGCAACTTTCACTAGTATAAAATTAGTTATTACTCTCTCGATACTACGTTCTTTCTTGAAAAATCTACCTACTCATACTAATTTTATCAGTTAGTAATTTAGAAAAGAAAAACTAATTAATTGAATAATACTTACAAATACAAATTTAAATAGGCAAAATAATGTGATATGAGCATGGTATACATTTGAGAAATTTTGAAATCAGTCTTTTTATACCATCATCCAAAGCACTTGGTAGAAGATAGAATCTAATAATAATTGAAATTGGATATTAATATGAAAAGAACACATGTTAGACACCTTTTAAACACACATTCAATAATCCAATAAAAAATAATATATTTATTTCGTCATCTTCTTTTCACCTCCTTCATCATTCTTATTTTTTTTTTACCTTCTTCTCATTCTTCTCTCGTCCCTCACTCACTCACAATTTCGTTCTCATTCTTCTCTTGTTCCTCACTCACCATCTCTTTCACATTTGTCCTCGCTCTTAATCTTTCGTGTCTCCTCACCCACCCTCTCTTTCACCTTTGTCATGAGTCTCACTCTTTATCACTCTCAATTGCACAATGATTGTTTTTCTCGTTATTGTAACTTTTATT